GCGCTCGCCCGGGGCGGGTGCCCGCGGCTTGCTGTTTCAGCGTCCGCCTCGCTCCAAGTACCGGACTAGCGCCTGCACGGGGAGCCCCGGGATCCCCGCTGCGGCACCTGGGCTAACGGGAGCGCTGCCTGCAGCCTGCAGGCGGAAGGGAGAGAAGATAATGTGTCTGGTGATCTCTGAGTAACTGGAGGGGTCGGGAAGCTGAGGATTATTTTCCGATTTTGTAGCTATCTACTTGAGACCTCAAAAACAAATTAACAATAAAAATCAACGCGTTACCAAGCACATGACTCAGCACAGCTTGCAAAAGCCGCCCCAGTCCCTAATACACGGTGTAGAAGCAGCAGGTGCCAAGCGCGGCGGGGTCCTGAGCGCCACCGCGCCGCGCGAGGGACTGCGGAAACTGTAAATGCTTGTCTATAGGAATGAAGAGAAAATGTGTAAGATGCACTTTTGTTTGATATTCTCCTTTCTAGTTTTAGGTAGTTTACTGGAAACTGAACTGTTGTTCTGTTGTGAACTGCTTAAGAAAAAAAAGAAAAAAACACCCACAAAACGAGTCAGTGTCTATCGAAGTTGTAAAAAAATTCCACTTAACTTTCTTTTTCCTGTACAGAATACGCATGACATTTAAAATATTGATGTTCTTGTTCCTAGCATGTGTGTTTTAAGACAAAGGTTAAAAAAGTGTCTACGTTAAATTATGAATCTAGTCGTCCAAATAATATTTTCTCATTAAAATATGTAAATGCAGATTTAGTTTCTTATTTGTCTTTTTCAAGAGTTTACATGAGAAAAGGGCGTTAGTTCGTGAAAAAGGAACGACACTATTTCAATATTTAAATAATCTAGAGCATATTCACATGAGGTTGCTATAAATACAACTATTAACATACTTCAACATGTTAGATAAAATAGTCATTATCAGCGGGTTACCGAGGAAATAATACACATAAAGGGCTTTCCTGTGTTTTGCCTTTTTATATATGCATATTTATGCATATATACATTTGAATATCATATACAACTCTACTGAATATATACACACATTGCATAAATGCATGTGTGGGTGCAGATTTATCGCTTACTTCCAGTTAAATTTCTCTAGGACGGATAAAGATTAGTGAAATTCTACAATATAGGGTGAACATAAAAAATACAAAAAAAAAGAAAAAAAGAAAAAGAAAAATCAATCGCCCCCCAAAACTTGATCTTTTTTCTTTCTAAGGCTCCGAATACTACTTTTTTGTCAATCGTTGTTTTTTTTTTCTTATTTTGTTTTTCTTACAAGCAAGAGGTATACGAAAACTTTTTTTTTTTCCAGGTTAAACCCAGGAAACACTGTAGTCTTTTAATTGTGATTTAAGCCTCCTAAAGCATGGTTAATTATTTCAACTACTCTTACTACTTCTCCCTCTTTATTAATCACAGTTTTAAAAAGTGGCAGGTTGGAAGCTGTTAATACTCAACATTTTATTCGTTTTTTTTTCTGTAAACCAATATACCGCCACTCTTTAAAAGTAAGGTCAATGAAGTGACAAGGAAACCTGGACCCCGAGCACTTTTCACAAGGCTCTTCAATTCTTGCAGGGATCTCGCAGGGATTCTGCAATTGTGGGAATCGATACAAGTAATCTAGGGAAATGAGTAAATTGGTCTGCGCTAACAAAACAGTCATAGGACAAGCGGATACTTAAAGACTTATTAAAAAGAAACAGCCATTGTATTCTAATGAACGCAGAGGCTTCGCTAATTCTACCTCCGGGATTTGAAGGAGATTTATCCCTGCCTGATCGCGATCTGAAGTTCTGGACCATAAACAGAGCAAGTAACACCCCCATTTCCTTCACTACTTACAGCGAAAGTTTTCAGATTCATGTAGAGAGCAATTAATCCGGTTGCGATTTTTTTTTTAAGAGGACGGATCCCACACACAGGAGAGAAAAAAAAGAAAAAAAAAGGTGGAAAATACATGAATCATTGGGCTGATTAAAATGCATGAAGCTGCTAAAGCTTGTCAGATGGGGGACAACTGAACTCATTCATCAAGTCCAACCCACGATTATATCAACACGATCAGCTAAAGAAAGCACTCAAAACTTATCACCAGATCAATGGACACATATCTCGACAAACTTTTCCTAAACAGGCGACGACCTACATTTTTTAAGTGAGGAGGATTTTCTTCTTTGCCTTCCTACTTTCTAAGATGTAGCAGTTAGATCCTCAAAGACGAAATGAGAGCTCAGCTAAGAAGATGAAGCTGCACTTTAAAACTCTCCAGTAATCAGCTGAGATAATGAGCTGAAAAGACTGTGCCCCAAAGCAGAGTATTTTCAAAAGGGGCAGGAGCTTCCTCGCTCCGCAGCGCGCTCGGCGGCTCCGTGCCCGCTCGTCCCGCTCTCGCGCAGCGCCCGCTGCACTTGGGGAAATGTTTAGATGCTCACTGCAAACAAACGCGCAGTTCAGCGCGGCGCTTGAATTTACTGCTTTGACTTGTTAAATCTCCCTAATGGCTCAAGTCCAATGTCAATAAACACAGATCTGAAATAAACCGGCAAGACACAACAGTGGGGAGGGAAGGGACGGAGGGGAGCGAGGAAAGCAGCCTCGACGAGCTCAGCGGCAGCTTCACCGATTTTGTTAGGACCGCTTTTCATTCTTATTTATTTATGTACTTATTTTTGCAACTAAGGCAGTGTGAGCTAAACGCACCCGCTGCAAGGACACCGTTCGTTGCAGGCGAAGTGCTCTCGAGGAAGCAGCGCGTGAGCCGGGGGGGGCGGTAAGGCAGGACAGCCTGGCTGGCCACGCGCATTTCATTTTTGCTGCAGTACAGTGCAAGGCACGTGCACCCCTGCCAGGCGATTTTTTTTTTCCTCCTCTTTCCCCTCGCCGTGTGACAAGACCCCACCCCGCAGGAGCGACTCCTCTACTGGGCTCTTTCTCACCCGGGCTGTTTTCTCCCGCTCGGCCGCCGCTCGGTCCGGGCGGGCCGCGCCTTGCGGGGAAGCACCAGCTCTGCCAGGTAGAGAGAAAAGAAATCCCAGCGACCCAGGAGAGGGATTTCATGGGCAAGCCTTTCCTCCAAGGGCTCCTTGGGAAAGCGGCAAGAGCTGCAGTCAGCTACAGTGCGGAATTATTTCTCAATCTTTAAAAAAAAAAAAGTGACATTTATATTAAGTTTTGTTTTTACTAACAAAAAGAAAACGGGGCTGTGAAGCCTTGGAGGGGCTGTATTTGTTTCTTTTAAACTAACAACAAATTATCTAATTAATATGTTTCAATTACAGCATGAAAAAGAGAGGCTTTGGACCGCCTGCAGTGGGTTTACAATAGCCCCAGAGCCCACTATAAGAATTTACAATAACTTCACATCTGTTTCTTTATTTCCCACTTTTCGAGTCTAAAACTCCTCTTGAAATCACTTCAAACCGTGGCCCAAGTTATGAAATATGGTCTCTCTGCCAGGAAAAAAAAAAAGAGGTGGAAGAAAAAAAAAGGACAAAACTTTGCAGATCGAGGCTTCATTTGCAAGCTAGAAAGTGAAAGCCCCATTGAAGAGCATTAAACAAATATATTAGAATTCTGTCACTTTATGCAATTGAGTAGATCAAATAAAGGGTCCCAGGCCACTTCATTCACTCTCATTCACTTGAATAGAAAATGCAAAGAATAGCAAACCTAGACTGGGCCACCGATGTAGATTTAGCCCTTTTTTTCTAAGAGACAAAAAGGCTGAATTTTCACAAACACATTGCTGACTCGGGGACTAGGAAACCAGCACTGAAACCCCTTTGGAATTTAAATTCATTTTATCTTCCTCTCTCTTCCTGGGTTCGTTTGTGCTACAGTGCAAGCTGCAGTGGCACCCTTGTCTTGACAAAAATACAACACAAGGAGGAAAAAAAAAAAAAAAAGAGGCTCCAGATTTATCACACCGGAGCCCAGCGCGGGCTACGGATAATGTTTTTACTCACAAAGAGGCAGGCAGAAAGAAAAGGAGAGCGCCCACCATCACCCCAGCCCCCGGACCTCCAGGCGGAGTGCGGGCTGCACACTGGGCTTGTGCTGCGTGGCCTATCGCACCAAGGGCGCAGCGCGCACAGAGGGGCTGCCCGGGAGCCCTGCGCCCGGCCTGCCACCTGGGCATGGTGCCCCCTCCCTGGGGCAGTGTTTCTAAGTCGAACTGGTCTTTCGGTCACCCATCCTCTGCTGGGAGTCTGAGCCCCGAGGTGGCTGGAGCTGGATACAGCACATGGGCACTCGCCTGAGTGCCTGTCCTGCTCCCTTGGAATCGGCGACATGGTCCTGTCATCCCACACGCACGTGTTGGAAACAGTAACTCACCCCTCCCCTATAGGCACTGCTAAATAAAGGCTCTTGATCCTGTAATATTGAGAAGGGCCTCAGTATTTATTAAGTAGTAACTGGAGTATTTTGCATTAATTAGAGCAGCTCCTCAGAGAGACATCACAGCCAAGAACAATCTCACAGCACAGGAGAACTCACAGCGTTTCCACACCCCCAGCCCAAGCAGCCACCAACAGCAGCAGCCCCTCGCACGCTCTGGCTTATTTGTAAATAGTAACTGAATGTGCGTTCTTCCCAAAGGCTACCAAAACACTCAGGCTTAGGCAGGGCTTCAGCCTCCATGCCCCTTGCTCGCTACTATGGCTCCTGGATAGACAACAGATCTAGAAGAGGGCAGGATTGGGCCCCAGCCTTGGACTCTCTTCTGCTCCCAAGCCAGACTCCCTTGGCCTCCATGGCAAGAGGCGCCTTTCCGGCCTTTGAAACAGTGCCAGGATGCTTAGAGCCTGTCAAATGGAGTTCAGAACCTCTTGGCCCCACACTGCTCACCCACCCACCCATTATTTCCATGTTTTAACAGTATAAGATACTAATTACAAGGTATTTTTATTCCTATCATTCCCAGTGTCCCTGGGCCACCTATTAAACATGAAATATATAAAGGACTCAGATGAAGCAAACAAAAAGGTGCCAGAGCCCCTGTTTTGGAATCCTTGAACATTACTGCATTCTGTGTCCTAGCCCAAAACTTCTGCTTTAAACATTTGGTAAATGTTAGGGCACCAGAAAGCACCTGCAGGCCCTTGCAGCCCCTTGAGCAGGACACGCGAGTGGTTGGAGAGGCAACGGCAATGCCCCATTGCCATCTGCAAATGGCAACCACCTCCTCAACTGACTCGAGCGCAGTTCCTCTGTACCACACATTGCCACTGGTCCTCAGCAAGCAGAGCAGCATCAGCATTTGTTTTTCTCCCTCTCCCCCCCTATTTCTCCCCTGCCTAGTCCTAGCAAGTCTGGCTTGAAATTCTTTCTTGTGACTACTCAGCTAGGAGGAATTAAGAATTAAATACCCAGCAGCAGAGTATCGAGAAGCTGCAAGGTGTGATTAGCAATCCAGGGCCTTAAAACAATGCTACTGCCTAGTCCGCTGGAGACATCCCTCACTGGTGGTAAGGGGATGCATCTCCCAAATCTCCTATAAAAACATCCTGGACTCGTACCAATAGGGCTGGCATAGTTTCTCCCTGTGCTCTGGGCTCATTCTAATCTTTTGCAGCACAGGGCTATTTAGACTGCTCACACACAGAGCAAAT